AGAAAGTAAACAGGCCTCCGAAACGGTTGGCGCGGATGATTACCCAAGGGGACTTCATTTGTAGTTTAAGTGTCGTATTTTAATTAATTATGGTTTTTATGATTTGGGGTTTTCACAGCGGTGAGTATGAAGACAGAAATCTTCATAATTATGGTTTATTTAACGATGCTTTTTCAGTAGCTCAGACTATATGGCGAATAATGAATTGAAAAGGATGTGAAAAAAAGCGGTCGTGGCCTATTTTAATGAACCATCCCTGGAATTTGTCTGGAGGAACTAGCCAAGAACAAGGCGCAGTGGCGGACTTCTGTACATACGGCAGTGAACCTTCGTATTTAGATTATAGCTGCGAACGTCTTGACCATCTGCTGTACTGCGAAAATAAATATCTTCCACGGGATGAGTTAACTGAAGTACAGAAATATCAAAGGATTGCATTGTATATAACAATGGAAAATCTCGTGTTGATCCCCGTACTCCAGAAGAGAAAGCGTTAGTTAGGAGACAGCATGATTTATTTAAATCGTGTTTAAGATTAGCTTACATGTTGAGAAGTCACTGAACCTCGAAGTCTGTTCCAGAATAGGAAAAACATACCATTGAAAGAACTGCATCTTAACAATGATTTGCGTGCGTGAAATTCAGAGCTGTCAATCCCATTCTGGGTGTCGCCACAGCAACGCCCGGCAGATTAGACTGACCCTTCACGAAACAGTGGTTTACACACTGTTGACCGCGGGACACTGGGCTTAGATGATACGATGCCGGGACGTCGAAAGTGGAATACAAAATGAAAAGTTACTGACTCTTTAAATAAGTGGGACACACAGACTCCCGATTATACGGGGGCCTGTCTAGTTTTAAAAAAGTTGACAGTGGAACCACGGTTCCGGAGAATCTGACGTAAATACCTCTCTGTATTTAAATTATATTTAAGCAATAAATACAATGAAAGGAAGGTTTCTGAATGTAATGAAATGTAATAATTCTTATATAAGATAAGTAATTGTGATATTCTAAAAGGTTTTTAACAGCACAAAATTATTTAGTCTACGACGCACTATTTTTACAAGCGATTCACAGCTCAGCTCTCTCCGCAATAACGAAAGCCCATTGTTGACGGCAGTAATGAAACACAACAATGACGAGTAAAAGGATGACGCAACAATTAGTTTCTTAGGTAACATAACCATTGTTGTCGGTCCATATTTACACATTGTTGATATGGATCTTACACGTTTTCCTTTCACTTGTTTGCCGAATGACCCTTCCGTATAGACGTATTTACGTCCAAAAAAATTTGAAAATCTGTTGTAGAAGTTAGAACATTTAAAAAGAAAGGAATAAATATAACAATGACATTATTAAACGAATTAACATAAATAAACTTTTACTAAAACCTGACGTTTACGACAATGGAACGTGTTACTATCCGTTGGAATCCGGCATACGTTTGTTTCCTAACTTTGTCACAGTAATTTCTCATACTGTATTTCCTCAAACTAGCAGTTTCATTGTTTTGGTGTGATTGTTCAGACGATGTTATATTGCATAGTGCGTATTGTTGCTTGTTGCTAATTGCTCTGATGTATACAGTGAATGTACGTACTACATTTTAATTGTTAATAAGTCTATTATTTGTTACAAAATATTAATTTACACTTTTTGGTAGACTCGCCACGTGGAATGAATAGTCGTTAAGATACCTGGCGTTGCAGTTTAATACTGGTACAACCTTCATACCATTCCGCCCCGGTACGGCAATACAAATGGGGTGTGTGACGCAATGGACCAATGAATATTATTCACGTGAACAATAGATATCAGAAAGTTCTGGAGTCAGTCCTTGTGCTGGTAGCAGCTGGTCTATATAACTGTAGTGCAACAGTGACTTATAGAGCAATGATTATATGGTTTGTTGATATTTGTTGGAATTATAAACCCACAAGATAAAGAGTAACAACAAACTCAGGGAAATGCTGGGATTCTGATGCCAATACATACGTTTATATAACTAATTAGCAAGATAATGTTTACTGGGTTATAAACTTTCAAGACGGGGTCCGCAGTTCGAATCCCACTCAAGCCATTTGTCCTGTGTACAGGTAGAGGCCTTGCGACGGGCCGATCCCTCGTCCAAGGAGTCCTACCGAATGTCTACAGATCAAGCCAACTGAAAAGGGTTGGGGACCCTTAAAAGGGTACCGGAAAATGTACAAAC